GCCAGGCTTTTATTCTGAAAGTAACAGGAAATCTAACAGGATGAACTCACCGTTGATCCTGAGTGCCGACTGGAACTGGTACTCCTCAAACAGGATCTCGTTCATGGACTCTTGAATGGAGGTGAAGTTGAAGTAGGGCTCGGTGATGACGACGCTCGTGTCTGCAAAATCCACCTGCACCCAGAAAACAGGGTCAGCCTCCACCACAGGAGGAGCTCAGTCAAACACAGCGATGAGGGGTGGAGTCACCTTAAACATCTCCTTTCCAAACAGGTGGTCCCACACCTTCCTCTGGACGTCCCAGTTCACCAGGTAACCCTGAAGAGAGAAACGGTGGAAATGAGACAGTCTGACGTCAGGCCGAAGCTGCTTCACCCTCACGTGACTTCACCTTCTGGAAGGGGAGGATGTAGAAGAGCCCCGAAGGATCTTTGATCTCATCCAGCTGGTTTGCAGTGAAGGTTTTTAACCTGGACGTCTTTGAGCGAAACTGGCAGTTTGGGATGACGCTGAGAGGGACAGAGAGAAGGTCCACGTCAGGGCCGCTCATTATTCTACCAACTACACGATGTTTTTATTCTCATACATTTGCTCATTTTTACTCTCATTTTTTTAAATGTTTTTATTGCAACTGTTTCCCTTCATAAATTTGACAGCTTGTTTCGTTCCACCCACCAAATTTGCAAAAGTTCACTGAAACATTTTCATGTTTTTTCTTATAAATCTACTTGTCCTGTAAATGTGACCATTTTTTCTCTTAGATATGTACAAATTTAGATTTTTCTCAATTCTCTCGTGGATTATAGCTTCAGTGTGTTGTGTCTTCGCCATCATGTACAGCTGGATGCAAAAGTTCGAGTAAATTCTTATTGATTATGTTTTGCGTGAAGCACACTGGAAAAATAAGCCCCCCCTAAGAGTTAACTTAATAAAAAGAAAAAACTATTATAAATGTATAACACCCTTAGCTGTTTTACATTTATAAGATGAATTTCAGTTAGACTTTGAGAGTTTATATTTGGTCTATAAAGAAAAAAATAAGAAAGCGTTTTTAATGAAATACATTTTATTCCTTAAACTGAGAGATTTTAAATAGAATCTGGCGTGAGGGTTTGACTTCTTTTACACAGAGGTTAGGTCGCTTAAAGTCTAAATTATTTTTACGCCTCTTCAGTTTAATTATTATTATTTTAATTAGCCGCAACGTTAGCTGTCATGCTAACATCTCACCTGACTTTCTCCTGGCTGTATCCGATCTTCGCCGTGTACGCTCCGTTATCCAAAACTAATGTCGCCATTTCAGAGGCGGAACTGCTCACATTAAATGCATTTATAAACTCAGATTAATCCGGAAATAAACAAAAACAAAACGCATTTCACATTTTCAGCGAGAATCCGCCATTAGAACTTTACGAACTCCTTCGGCCAATCAAATTTGTCGTCCTCTCTGTTTGTGGCGGATGGACAGCCAATCAGATCTTTACATCTTAGCCTTTACGCTTCTTTGCAGCTCGACCAGCCAATCAGAAACAATGTTTTTGACTGTGCTTTAGAAAAGTGTTCGGGTGGAAACAGCATCTTGCTTTTGTTCCGCCTCCTTTGTTTCGTTAACTTTTAGTCTCTTTTGCCCTTCAGAGTGGAATTAAATGACATTAATCGGAAGTTATAAACAAAATAACCGCCCAAATACGACTTTTCCTTTAATCTAAGTGCATTTAGTTAATTATTGTCTTTCAGCATAATGTTGATGTAATTTATTTGAATATTTACATTTCATGGCACTATGGAGGCTTGGGACACACGACACGGGAGCTCCAGTTTTTCACTCCAACTTTATTCACCTCCATACATCAACTCAGCATATCGCGCCCAAACACAACAAGAACCC